TATTGGTTGAGATAGATCTTCGAGAGGATCTTCAACATTCTGTTGCAGTGTCTCTGCTGTCTGGTCTCATCCTTCATCAAAAAGTTGTCTATGAAGCTCTGCCCAAGTTCTGTAACTATTGTAATGTTCTTGGTCATTCTCGGATTCTCTGCCCCAAAGCTGCTGCTAGTGCAGCTGAGGTCCCGATGGAAACTGCCCCGACTATGCCAGTTGGGAAAGGGAGTGTTTTTGGTCGTCTGGGTCCCCAGATATTGCAAAAACACGCTCCTTCTCCAGAAGTTCCAACTCCTTCTGTTGTTCCCTCAGAACCAGTTCAAGATAATGAATCGGTTCTTTGTGATGCTTCTGCAGGTTGGATTACAGTGGAACCTAGGCGAAAAGCTAATCGTAAATCCCCTAAAGGGAAGGAAGCCATTACAGCTGACATGGAACTAAATGTGACTCCCTCTGTCAGTGAAGATACAGTTGGTTCTCCAAGTGTGAGAGACTCAGCTACTGACACTGTGGTTACAAGGCCTTCTTCTTGTCGGGCAAACCCCATGCCGGATGCAAATAATCCTATTGACCCACAAAATAGGAAGCATTACAAGCTGCTGACTCTTGCTGATAATAGAAGGACCTGCCTACATCTTTTCAAGTCAATCTGCCTAATGGAGATATTCTGATGCAATCAGTTGTGTATGAAACACTGCCAAAATTCTGTAAGCATTGTAAAGTCCTTAGCTACACTACTGTTGCTTGCCCGACTAGCAACTAGAGTTCAGATGCCGAGCACAGGACTAGGAGTAAACCTTCCAAACCAAATAATGCTATGGGAAACAAAGGGAGCAGTCAGTCTGCCCAGCAGACTTTAGATCCACTACAAGCAGAAGTTGAAGCTGTCACTGGTGGCTGGGAAGTGGTAAAAGGGAAGAAGTCAACCTCCAGACACAAGGAAACATTTATAACTGCTGCTCCTTAGAGGGTAACAAACAATAATAAGGACAAGGAAGTGACATGCAGTAATAAGGGCAAGGAAGTGGCATGCCCAATGGATGCTAGAGTGCGGGGTGATGAATCTCTTACTCATCCTAATACCTGTAATGAAGGCAGGACAGGTTCAACTGTTGTATTGATCAGAACAGAAGAGCAATCTTGTGAAGACATTTCGGCTGGCTGCAATGTCAGGACTGGGGATAAGGTTTGTAATGAGGCCACTCAGAAAGCAGCTCCTCTAGCTTCCCCAGTTGTGGCTACAAGGAGTAGCACTCGGAAATCAGGTGGTAGTGGTAGGAGGCCTCCTACCTCTACTTCTGATTAATGATTATTTATTGCTGGAATGTCAGAGAACTGAACAGTCCTTTAAAGCAACATGAGGTGGTTAACCTCGTGAAAAAGCATAAAATGGACGTTTGTGGTCTTTTTGAGACCTTGCACTCTTCTAAGGTTTCCTCCATGCATAAGTTTCGGATGAAACACTGGAATTTCCTTACTAATGCTACAGCTGCCAGCAATGCCAGAATTGTGGTTTTTTGGAATCCATCAACGGTAATAGCTCACTTGCTTGATTGTTCAGCTCAGTTCACTTGCTTGATTGTTCAACTCAAGGGCTGCATGTAATTATCAATAGCTTAATTCTCTAGCTTAGATTCACTGTCACTTTTGTGTATGAATATAATATCAAAGAACCATCTCAACCCAAAAGTTTAAGCTGTTAGGTGAGGTTCCAAGATATGATTTATATTATTCTCTAACACACCCCCTTAAGTGAAAGCCCTTTAAGCTTGAAACTTGCACAGGGCCACATTACCTTGTGCTTAATTTTTATCAAATAAATGGGGATGGTGAGATTTGAACTTGTGACCGCTTGGTCATCAAGGCTCTGATATCATATCAGGAAATCATCTCAACCCAATAGCTTAAACTGTTAGATGAGATTCCAAGATATGATTTATATTATTCTCTAACCTATAATACAATTGTTACAAGAAGATCTCTATGACAGACTTAAGAACATGGCAGCCTAATTGCCTATGGTTGGTAATGGGTGACTTTAATTCTGTCTTGTTTCAAACTGACAAGCACAATGAAGAGCCTGTCTCCACCTACAAAACATCAGATTTAGAGACTGTTGTACAGACCTTGGGCTTGTTGATCTCAATTTCACGGGCTGCCATTATACCTAGAATAATGGAAGAGTATGGAGCAAAATTGATAGAGTTCTAGTCAACTCATCTTGGTCTGCACTTCAAGCTCTAGCTCACGTCCACTTTGGCAATCCTGGGGTCTTTTCTGATCATTCTCCAGCAATTATTCGGTTTGATTATCAGAACAGACAAGGGAAGCATAATTTTAAATTCTTCAATATGTGGGCTTCTCACGAGAATTTCTTGCAGATTGTATCTGATCAGCAATTATTCGGTTTGATTATCAGAACAGACAAGGGAAGCATAATTTTAAATTCTTCAATATGTGGGCTTCTCACGAGAATTTCTTGTGGATTGTATCTGATAACTGGACCCGCTACATCCAAGGCTCTCCTATGTTCTCTCTCTCTCTGTAAGAAGCTCAAGTTTCTGAAAGGGCTTTGAAAGAGCTAAATAAACTGTATTTTAGTCATATCTCTGAAAGAGTTGCTAGAGCTGAGACAACTTTAGAGAATCACCAAACTGTTCTTCATGATAACAGGGACAATTTATAGCTATTGGAGCATGATAAGCAGTTACGGTTGACATTGATGAATCTCAAATCAATGGAGAAAACGTTCTTCTCGCAGAAACTTAAATGCCATTATTTCAAAGATAGTGATAGAGGAACAAGCTTTTTTCATGTACTGATGAATCAGAAAAATAGAAGGAATTATATTCCTGCTATTCACTGTAGTGATGGCACCCTGACTACATCAGAGGCTGAAATTGGTGAAGAATTCGTCAGGTTCTACCAGCAACTCCTAGGCTCATGCAAGGAAACTCTTCCCCTGGATATTGATGTTATTCAAAGTGGGCCTTGCATTAATGAAAGCTCTCATGAGTCTCTATTAGCTCATGTATCTAAAGATGACATTAAAAATGCTCTATTTGGTATTGGGAATGATAAAGCCTAGGGCTGGATGGTTACTCTTCATTTTTCTTTAAAAAATCGTGGGGTGTCATTGGAGGGGATTTTTGTGCGGCAGTTCAAGATTTCTTCACTTCTAGGAAACTTTTGAGGCAAGTTAACCACTTTATTATTGCTCTGATCCCCAAGGCAGCAAATGTAAATACAACAGCTGATTTTCAGCCCATTTCTTGCTGTAACTTGGTTTATAAAATGATATCTAAAATTCTTTCGGGGAGATTAGCTTCTGCTCTAAATGCCATTATTAGCCCAATGCAAAATGCCTTTCTGGGTGGGAGAATGATGTCAGACAACATTAATTTAGTTCAGGAGCTTCTTCGTCATTATGGCAGGAAGAGAGCTTCTCCCAGATGTCTCATGAAGGTTGATTTTAAGAAAGCTTTTGATTCAATTCAGTGGCATTTTCTACGCCAGCTGCTGCATATGTTTGGCTTTCCAGACCAATTTGTGCACCTAATTATGAAATGTGTTGAAACTATATCTTTTTCTGTTACAGTTAATGGCACTCTTTATGACTTTTTTTCTAGGAAGAGTGGAGTTAGGCAAGGTGATCCATTATCACCATATCTGTTCATCTTATGCATGGAATACCTTTCCAGAATGCTTAAGCTAGCATCGAGGAATGGTGATTTTCAGTTCCACTCGAAATGTAATGTCTATGATATATGCCATCTTGCTTTTGCTGATGATGTTCTTTTGCTGTTTCGTGGGGATAGACACTCGGTTTCCACTATCTTTCAGCAGCTAATAATCTTCGGGCAGACCTCAGGGCTGACTATAAATGCAGCAAAATCATCAATCTATTTTGGAGGCGTTAGTGATAGTTTGAAGCAGTTAATCCTCCATGATACCGGCTTCAGAGAAGGTAGTTTTCCCTTCAAATATCTTGGTGTTCCTCTCGTTCCTCACAGACTTCTAGCAAGCCAATACTCTCCTCTGTTGTAGAAATTGGAATTGGCAGTGCAAAGTTGGATGGGAAAACATCTCACTTATGCTGGGAGATTAGAGCTAGTGCGGACAGTACTCTATGGAATGGTACAATTTTGGCTTAGCATCTTTCCTATGCCAAGCAGTGTAATTAATCAAATTATTTGCATTTATAGAAACTTCTTATGGTCAGGCAACCATACAAACAACAACTCTGCTTTGGTGGCCTGGAAGCAGCTCTGTCTCCCCAAAAAGGAAGGGGGCCTGGGTTTGTTTGATTTAAAAGCTGTGACTGCTCATCACTCTTCATCCCCCCTTTGGAAATCTATTATTCTGCTAAAAGATAAGTTGCTTGAAGATTGCGGGTGCCAAGAGGAAGCAGTAGCATTACTTCGACAATGGAACAGAGGGTATGACAACTTCTCGGTGCAAGCATTTAATTATTTTAGACTCTCTGGTCCTCAAGTGAACTGGGCGCGAGTGGTATGGGAGAAATGGTCTATGCCAAGACACAACTTTATTTTATGGCTAGCAGCGTTGGGAAAATTGAGAACAAAAGATCGGCTTCGGTTTTCTCAAATAGATATCTCGTGTGTACTGTGTGGGCAGATAGAGGAATCACATAGCCACTTATTTTTCACTTGCTCTTAGTTAGCTTGCCTGTGGTTGCAAATCAAGCTGTGGCTGCGCATCAATAGGAGGATGACGACCTTGACCAGTGCCATCAGGGGACTTCACTCCGGGGGAAACAACTTAGAAGCTCGAATGAGAAGAGTCTCTTTGGGTCTCATGGTTTATCTTATATGGGAAGAAAGAAACAAGAGAATTTTTGAAGGAAAGAATAATACGGTTGGCAATGTTTTTAGAAAATTCCAGATTATGTTCTAGACTGTTTTTCACTTCTATGAGAAAGACCATCACATTCTCAATGTTGGTTGAGGTACATGCTGCGGTCTTCTAAAGATAAGCTGTTCATG